CCTGCACCTACACCATCCCCACATCACTGTCGGAACTTCCTTCTTGTAATTTATCAACCTTCATTTTTTGCTTTGCCGACATTACTTCACTGTCGGAACTTTCATCCTGCGTTCCATCATCCTTCGGCTTTTGTATCATTTTCCTCCAGCTACTGTCGGAACTTGCATCTTTTGATGCAGCAACTTTACGCATCTCTCTAGTCCTCCGTTAGCCGTCGTCGCAACTCTTATTTTGAGACACGTTAATCAACTCGACTGACGACTTCCATGATCGCTTCACGAGACCCATCACCGGTTTTTTTTATGTCAGATTTTCACATTGTCATGTGAATGTTAGGCACCAACAAAACCACCAACTGTTAGAAAACCAACTTTTAGAATATATAAGAAGAAGATGTCAGAACTTGTACTGCCCAGGCCGGACCTTCAGTAACTTGTACAAACTCCTCCATGTACATGGGGACTTCAACGGGCCTTTCACCTTCCACCTCCTGACTTCATCGGGCCTTCCACATAGACGGGTCTTTGAGGCCTCCATAAAGCACCAGTGTTAAGTAAAACTCGGTAGCACCTCCAAGTCAGTGCACTGTAGCGGGGCTGCATTGGATAGGTCTTCAGAGGCTCCCAATAAACATTAACGGAAGAAACTTGACCAGTTACAATTCCTGCAATTATGAACAGTGGCAGATCTGCAGAGAATTCCCAATATGTAACTATTTATTAGCAATGCGGTGAGAGGAGAACTATTACAAATTTTTAAGTTTGTAATTTTCATCATTCCAGTCGGAAATAAAATAAAATATTCGAGAATTATGTTAGCTTGAGATGTGCAAAGTTAGGCTTGAGTTATCTTCTCGTACTGTAATCTTGCTGTTCATTGTTCTTCCCGAGGTGAAGTACTTTATACTTGTCAGCATTAAAGGCAAATGCCAAGTACTAAATAATGTTGAATTTTACCTACTTGCATATGCATTGATTGAAAATGTATCATAATTATATGAAAATTTTTTAAACTAATACGTGTTTCTACCGAAATTTAATGAAATATTAAAATATCCCTTGTCTTATGGCTTTGCAGGTTCATTCACTAATAGTTTCCACCGCACTTAAATAAAATTTTCACATAGTCCTAGAGCCTAGAGGTAGAAAATGCCATATATTACAATTGAAAACTTTCAACTTGTATTTTTTTAAAATCTAGACGCAGACGCGCATTCATTCAAACGTTTTTCTCCCATTGAATTCTTTGCAATGCGGAACCTCAAAAGGGTGAAGATTTGGCGCGCAACGTTGCCCAAGCCTTGGTTTCCATATCCTACCTTAAACCCTTTTAAAAGTTTTCTATACACAAGAAAATCAGCCTAATAATTTGCAACTTCATGCAAAATAATACGGTATTATTCATTTTTGTTTGCATTTGATTATGAGTTGAAATTTTGATACCATGGTTTCTGATCTTTAAATTCCTTTTCGTGACAATGGCTTACATTGCTGGATTGGTTTCCATATCCTACCTTGAACCCTTTTAAAAAATTTCTTTACACAAGAAAATCAACCTAATAATTAGCAACTTCATGCAAAATAATACTGTATTATTCATTTTTGTTTGAATTTGAATATGAGTTGCAATTTTGATACCATGGTTTCTGATCTTTAAATTTCCTTCTCGTGACAAGGGCTCACATTGCTGGAATGGGCTCAGTTGGTATCACGCGGTAATTGCGTAAAGTGGTGACGAAAATGTGGCAATGGCTAAGTATAGGTTTCCGGGCAAAGCCCTAAAACTTAGTGGCAAGAAAAAAGTTCGTTATGAAAATTGGAGTAAGAATTGTGCCATTGAAGACAGTTATTCTTGTAAAATTGTGAGAGGGTTGAAAATATTCAGAGAATTATTCGGCGCTTCGGAAGAGGTACGTATAGTATTACGTGTTACCCGTCGAGAAAATTTCGGGTTTACAGTGTTGTACGAAAAAACGTTATATTCGTATTAATTATTAATTAATATTTTTATCAGTGTCGAATTTATGTTAACTTGTGTATAAATTCCCTGTGTTTATTTAGCTATTCGCTGTAATACCATGTAAACGTTGATATCGTTGGAACTTTGAACATCGTTTGTTTATCTTGGTGTTAGCTAGGTAGGTATCTACCTACCTATTTGTTATTGTTTTGTAGCTTAGCAGGAATACCTATAGTTCCTGTCTACCTGAATATCTTGAATAACAAGGAACAACTTTCGAGATTCCTCCTGCTGATTTAAAATTGTAAAAATCAGGTCTTCATAATAACCTATTTCTGGTAAATTTGTATATATGCTTTTCCAGAATGAATTCCAAAAATAATATAGGCTAGGTATGCCGTATGCCCTCGCTAGTCGATAAGATAGCTAGGTACGTTCAAAAATTGCATTTTAAAGACAACACTTCTAAAGAATCCAGTGTCTCCAATGTTAAAGATGTAGCTAGCTACACTAAATTTCTCATTTTATTTTCAAATAATGAAAAAATTAATTTATACATATTTTTAATATATAAATTGTTTTCAAAATTATTTATTCTGTCAATTGATTCGTGCATTGCCTCCTACTTCACACAAGTGTGCAAAATTTCACATCAATTGGACAGGTAAAAGTGTGTCAAATATCAATTAGGTATAAGATTTTTAGCTGACAAAAATATTTGTTCACTTTTTTTTAATATTGGAAAAATTATTTATTTTGTCATTTGATTCATGATTTATCCCCAACTTTATGCAAGTGTGCAAAATTTCAGATTGATAGGATAAGTAGAAGTGCATTTAATTTTGATTACAATATTTGGAGGCTGGAGCAGACAGACAAACAAGAAGTGAAGTTAAAGAGAAGTGTTGTAATGATAGTTCATATACCTATTATTTTCCATCCACCTCCTCCAATTTTTGGTCCAAAAATTTCAGTTAATAGGGAAAGGGTGAAATAGGATTATAGGAGGGATTAAATTTGCACTTGAATATAGTGGCAGAGCAGAGACTGAGTTTTTAGACTCTTCCTCATGCTCAATTTTGAGTCCTATTACTCCTATAAGAAGACTCGACAAGTAAGTACCGTAAAATGGGGTAACTTAGACCACTTTTTTTCTTATAAATGATGCCATTTTCTTACTAGCTAAATTAAACTTGAATTAAAACATGCAAAATACAGGTCTATACTCTAGCTTTACTTGAGTAGCCTCAGTATTAGGCCTTTGATGGCCATTGACAAAATTTTTCTATCTCAAATCGTTTTTGAGTTGTGGGGGGTTTTTGTTAAAAAAACGATAAGTGGTCAAAGTTACCCCGCCGGTCAAAGTAACCCCATTTTACGGTATCTTGGATGGATACCAGCCTTATCATACATAAGAAATTGATTAAAATATTGACTAGATGAAGAAATTAAAAATGAACCAATTCTAAAAAATCTAGGGTTTTGTAGTTGCCACAATGCTGACTTGATAGTCAAGAATGAAGGTTGCAATTCTTTAAGATGTCAATTAGGCTAAATAATAATTCATTAGCAATTCATCTCTAATACAAACCCAACAAATTAACATCAAAGAAATAATAACGAATCATGCCACCAATAAGAGTTTAACATGATGCACACCATGAAAGCTATTTGAGGGAGGATCAGATGTTTATAAAATGAATGAATGAAAGCACCTGTTGACCCGTGCAGCTGAGCATAGTGAAATCCCAGGACGTGGACACTAGACAGTCATTTAGCTCCACTGTGACCACCAGAGCACTCTTTACTTGAGGACGGGTGGGAGGGCCAGGGGGGGTATCATGCAATGTTTTTCAGGGCCGCTACAAGAGTACTAAATGGGGAGGAAATGGCAGTAATTTTGGTGCTGAAGCTATGCAGTGAAGTTCTGGGCGTCTTGCTTCTTTTCCTGGGCATGTGCTCCTATTTTGACTGGGACACTCTTCATTCACATAGGTAGATGGTCATTGAGAAGGCATTTAGAAAACCACCATGCTTGACTGAGTTTCTTCTGGATTATGGTTGGCAATGTGGCCAACTATAAGCAAAATCCATGTTAATCTTGAGAGAGGCTCACTCAGAGTCATGAGAGAGGCTCACTGAGAGTCATGAGAGAGGCTCACTGAGAGTCATGAGAGAGGCTCACTCAGAGTCATGAGAGAGGCTCGCTCAGAGTCATGAGAGAGGCTCACTCAGAGTCATGAGAGAGGCTCAAATTTAAAGTGATATATCGTGTTTTTTAACTTTTTTTATTCAAGTAATTTTTATACTTGAAGAAAATGGTCTGTGCAGGGTTTAGTTAAATTAATTTAGATCAATATTATTTTAGGCTGCCCATTGGCCAATCAATTCTGGAAAATTAGCCAGAAGGAAAAACCACCTGTGAATGAGACAAATACCCTCCTTGTGATCAATCTCATTAATTTATTTGGCTATTTTTTACTTAAGAAATGAGAAACACATTGTAGGATTTCATGTGAATTTGAAATTTGAATATCACATGTCAAACAACATTTTCATCCAATCATTGCAGGAAAATTATGTTCAAAATTTAGATTGGTAGGTCTTGGCCGGATTGTTGAAATTCTATTATTTTCTGAAATATTGTGGCTCTTCTATCTTGCTCTCTTGGAAATCACATTTTGGTGGATATGAAATCTAGCAGTTTTAAAGCCTTGTATTCTGGCTTAAAAATGAAGAAATTTTGTAGTCTGCAACCATGTTATTTCACTAAATTTTGAACTTTTATGGTTTCAGTACTGCACTCCTGCTAAATATCCTGCACTACTACACCCAAAACATTTCATTGATGCTTGTGTATTTGCTGTTATGCCAGACTGCTTTATAGTTGTGTTATTTCTTTAACACAAGCATGAAAAATATGTTCACCTCTTAAATGCCTCTTGGGTGAAGAAAAATCTTTTTGCTTCTACTTCTAGGGCAAAGAAACTTGGCATAATACATGTGCACAACTTGGCAAATGAACTTGTGGCTTTTGCTAATAATTTTGCTGCTCAAAAATAGTTTCTCACATCTCGGACAAGGAATTGACTCAGAAAAAGAGAAAAATTTTCTCAGGACTCAAATAAGTAGACTCATGGTTCAAAAATACTGGAAATCATGCCTTCATATGTTTAGTCATGGTTTGGAAGGAGAGGCCTTCCACACTAGAGCCATGATAACATAGAAACATCTCCCTTTAAGCATCAATGAGGCTTCAGTGACCAACAATCAAGTCAACCTTACTGTAAAAGGTGGCTTTTTATGTAGAGATATTATAATCATTTAACCCTCTACTGCCTGACACAAGTAACTGGAGCAATATTGCTGCAAGCCTACTTCCCAAAAAGGATTCGTTCTATTAAGTGCAAAACGACTTGCAACGATGGTTGTTGTTGTTTCTTGCGCCAAACATCACGCTCGCGTGGGCGGAGGCTCTGGTGGCGGTCGGAGGGGCAGTACCGGAAGAGGAGGAAGGTGGGCAAAAGCAGGGAGGGTGGCAAGGAACGTTGATGCCTCCACGGGGTTGTCCCACAATGATGAGAAGCTGAGGGGCATGGGGAAGGTGGGGCAGGCAAAGAGGTGCTGGACGGATTGGAGGGGATCCCCACACTCCGGGCAAGCAGCGCTAAGGGAGCATCCAACCCTGTGGGTGTAGGACGCAAGGGAGCTGCAGTATCCCGAGCGTAGCTGGGATAGCGCTGAGCGGTAAGGACGAGGGAGCGAGGCTTCTGCTGCAATCGGTGGTGGTGGGGCTGTGAGGACAGCATTGTTAACGGCCGTCGCTGCAACATGGGTGGCTATCTCCCTATGGAGATAGTGTTTTGCCTCTCCATAGGCACCGTTGGGCATCATGCCGTCAGCAAGGAAAGGCACCCCAAGGTGGCTGAATCTTGTCTTGAGCAAAGGTTTCATGGGGCGGTCTCCGGGGGGAGCGGAGACGATGCTGAAAGAAGCATGAGTAGGCTGGAGGGTGCTGGCGAGAAATTGAGCACAGGCCAGGTCCAGGTGGGTGGACAGGGGGAGGACGCCTGTCTCATGGTGGAGATGTGCGATTGGGGCCATCTTGAGGCAGCCGGTGGCTAGTCTCAAGGCTGAGTTTTGGATGATATGAAGGCTTGCAATTGTAGTGCGTGAGGCCACTGGGAACCAGATGGGGGCAGCATAATTGAGGATTGGGCCAGTAATTGTCCAGTATGTGGCAATGATGTCTTCCTTGGAGAAGCCCCAGTTGGTGCTGGCCAAGGCTTTTAAGATGCATAAAGAGCCTGTTGCTTCGGTGGCTATGGTGCTGACATGAGAGAACGTAAAATGGGTATCCCAAGTGACCCCCAAGATTTTGGGGGTTTTGTCCAAGGGGATGATGCCATTGAAGATTGTTGCAGAGGGGTGAAGACGGGATTGGTGAGTGTCAGGGGTGAAGAGCGTGACTGAGGATTTCCCCGGAGCCACGTCCAGTTTCTTGGCGGTCGACCAGTATGAGACGCCCCGGAGAAGCTCAGAGAGGGCAGCCTCCGTGGCGTCAAGTCTTGGGGACGACACAAAAATATCAAGGTCATCTGCATATGAGGCGATGTTAGAGGTCGGAACAGGTATGTCCGAGATGAAGTAGTTGAATAGGGCTGGTGAGATGACCGACCCTTGGGGGACTCCAGAATGGATAGTTCTGAAGGGGGACCTTGTTCTCAGATAGAGGCAGGAAGCCATCCTGCCTCTAAGGTAACAGCACAGCCGGCGGACCAGATTATGATGTAGGTCTGAGGCCGCGATCATGCTAAGGAGGAGAGGGTGGTCGACACTATTGAAAGCTTTCGATAGGTTGACCGCAGCTGCCGCTGTACATGCTGGGGGACGGCGTAAATTGAAGCCCATCGCAATCTGGTGTGCGAGCAGGAGGAGGGCAGTGACTGTCGAGTGTCCTGGTTTAAAGCCATGTTGCAAAGAAACCGTGATGAGAGAATCAGAGATGTATGGGAGTAGAAGGCGTTCCAGGATCTTGACTGCTGGACAAAGGAGGGAGATGGGGCAGTACAAGGAGCCCTGGTTACCAGGTTTACCTGGTTTTAGTAATGGGATAATTATTGAGTTTTTCCATGTAGATGGAATGGAGGCCGTGGCGACAGAGATTTTAAAGATGTGTGTAAGGAACTTGAGGCCACGTGGGCCAAGGTGTTTGAGGTGGGGAACCGTGAGGCCATCCGGACCCTGAGCGGAAGAATTGTTAGCGGCTCTGATGGCGAGTTTCACCATGTAAGGGGTGAAAGGGGCGAAGTCCCTGTCCAAGGGGTGCTCAGCCCAGATTTGACGCATAAGGCGGCGGGTGGATGGGTTTTGGCGGTGCAGAGCAATGGAGGTGAATAGTTTGCAAAAGGCGGTGGAGATCTTGCGATGCGACGAGAGGGGGGTCTGACCGAATTGGATTGGCTGGTTGGGTGGAGGGCAGCTAAGTTTTCCAGATAGTGAGCGGAGAAGGTTCCAGTGTTTTGACTGGTGAGTTCGCCTGTTGCACGAGGTGAGATGTGTCCGCCAGGTATTCCTGGCATGGGCTTGTATTGAAGTGGTGATTTCTAGGTTGAGTTCGGGGAGCTGAGGGTCGTTAGGGTTGCGCGCCCTGATGTCATCCTGTTGCTCCATGAGCAACCGGGTGCCAGGGCTGACTGCGGGGGAATACTCATTTCTAAAGCCCGCAGGGATGTGCTGCTTGGCAGCAGCCCCCAGGACGCCCCTGAGGGTCAACTCACCTCCACACAAGGTGGGGGGAGGGACTGCCTTGAGCGCTGCTTCAACTGCTGCCGTGTAGGCATGCCAGTCCACTTTCTTAAAGTTAGTATAAGAGCGGGCAGACCGGGGAGTCGGGGACTCCATGGAAGGGGGCAGATGAAGCAGAATGGGCAAATGGTCGGAATTTAGGGCGACTTGAGGTGCCCATGAGGTGCTGAGTAGTAGCTGCCTGGTGATAATGGCAAGGTCAGGTGACAAGAGCGGACCATGGGAGGGGAGGCGGGTCGGCAAATCCTTGTTGAGGAAGGCTAAGAGGGAGCCAGAGATGAAGTCGTCGATGGTGATCCCTCTCGCTGCAGCTCTCTGGTCCTCAGTGTGGGAGAACCAGGAGGGGTGATGGGCGTTGAAGTCGCCCACTATCAGACAATTGTCCGGGATGGTGACAATGTAAGAAAGGTCCGGGGAGTATCCCGAGGCGCAGGAGGTGGCTGGTGGGATGTATATATTGATAATACAGAGAGGGGAGCCATTGAGCGAAGTGGAGATGGCTATGGCCTCCATGGTGGCGTCGCCACGCAGGAGGGGAGAAATATCACGCCCGGTGTACGGGATGTCATGACGAATCAGGATTAGGAGACCGCCACCATGGCCACCAGGACAGTCCCTACGCTCCAGCGCGTATCCAGGGAAAGAAAGAGGGCGGGAGGCTGCTGATAGCTTCGTCTCCTGGATGCTGGTAATCGCAACATCGTGCTGTGCAAGGAAGGCAGCCAGTTCGACTGCGCTGGATTGGATCCCATTGCAGTTAAACTGGAGGACGCAGAGACGAGTGTAGGCAAGCACGTGGTGAGGCCGGGGGGCAAGGGGGGATGGGGTCTGGGTGGGCTCGGGTCAAGCCGTCTGCACGTTGAGCAGATCCAGTCTGTGCAGAGTAGTTGTGAATGGAGCAAAGGCCAGAGCACCGCTTGTGGCACCAGGCGTTGCACATGGAGCACCAAAACGAATAGCACTGCCGTGTAACCGGGAGGGAGCAGACTGAGCAGGGGTCCTGGCCAGGGTTGGGATAGATACTCTTGGTAAGGAGAAGGATGAATAGGAAGAAAAGATGGGAGGAGAGAAGGGCATAAGGTTGTTGGGGGTCAGCCCCTCTAAAGGTCAACAGTCCGGCCGGTATAGTACCAGCACGTGAAGCCAAACAAAACAAACTCAGGGAAACAAACGGAGGAAGAACCAAGCAAACATGTATTAAATATAATCAGTGGTACCATACATGAAGGTGAAAGGTGCAAAATTAGTTGGTTAGTAATGAGGCAGCCCAGGGCTATGAGTGATGGGGTGAACCTAGCATGAGAACATGAATAGCAAGCAGCCCAAACTGGTTTGAACAGTAAAGAATAAATAATGATACATGGTAAATAAACTAAACTGGGCCAGAATAATGATCCGTAGCATAAATCAAATCAAGAATAATGAAACCAAGGAATCAATGGCTCAAAAAGGGCCCTGGGTCATGCCTGGTCCATCAAGTGGCGTCCGCACCAAAGAAACAACATGGCGATGGTCTTACTTGTGAGTTTCAGTGGGGTAGACTCAACTGGCACATTAGGGCAGTTCTGACATGAGTTGCTGGACAGGACTTAAAGGGCATCCATGCTGGCCTCTAGTGTCAGCTCGAGTAGCTGAAGAGCAGCCCAAGACTCGATTGCAATGTGGCTCAGTGAGCCCAAAGCTTGCCTGTCACTCGTCCAGAACTGGCATCAAACTAGCTCAGAACTTGCCGGAATGCGCCCAAAATTGGCCCAGAATATGCCCCACGTTGGCCGCTCTGCAAAAGTGAAGGAACAACAACACATAAAACCTATCCAACAAAACACTTGAAACACATACATACACTTGAAACGCATAAATACACATTAGCTACCTACTACTAAACTCTAGAACAATTTAAAGGGATGATTGATGATATTTACAAACATTTACTGATAACAGCAGGTTAGTCAGCAAAAGGCACTAGGTCAGAAAAGCAAATCTGCCTTAGTCAATAACAACCCATGAAGAAGATGACTTGGCACAAAAATTACTTAAACTGGCTTTAGTATTCCACTGATCTGAATCAGTCTAACATTCAAACACTGGGGACAAAAAGAGAGAATTAATTGAAAACACTTAATAAATCATTCATTTGCCTAAATGCAGCCCCTAACAAGGTGTCCCAGGAAAGATAGGCGGCCAAAGGTGTGGGTAGGGGGAAGGGGAGGCCGAGGTTCCCCTGCCCTTAGGGGAAAAAAATGATGGAGCATCCGTCCGGTAGCGATCAACGATGGCAACGATGGTTGCCACTATGTATGACAGTGGCAACAATGGTTGCCACTATGTATGACAACTTTAAAATGTTCTCTGTTGCATACAAACATCCTCAGGTTGCTACACTCAAATAGTTTACATATAATTTAAGTTGGAAGTTATATTCCCAGAGAGTGACATACAGCAGTAGAGGGTTAAAGCTTTCCAAAAGTCATTTTGGTCATGAGCTGGTGGCCATGTTTTTTAGGCTTGGGTTGGATCACAAACCAAACTGGAAAATCAGGCAAAAGGCTCCCTTGAATGAGGCAAAACACTTGCGATCACCCAATCCTGTGGCCTTTGCCTAATTTCTTGATTTTAATGATAAACATCAACATGTTTGGCTTGTATTGAGGCAATTAATTTATAGGAGTCCTCAACCTCTAACTTGTGCCTAATATATCACATGTGATTGGACATGCCACTAAATGAAGGCAATTTAAGGTCAAGATGGCTTGATGGAAAGCTTGAAAAGATGGCACTATCTCAATGCCTATTCACAAATTACCAGAAATTATGATCTGAATTGAATGATGGTTTTTGTTCAAAACTTTGAACAATAAATTGGTTGTTGATTGACATCAGAGATGAGGCAGCATTGAAAGTGGAACAATTGCTTTGTTGCCTGGAGTTCATATTTTAAAAATTTTTTGGCACTACCAGTATTTATTTTTAAAAATTTTGCCAATTGTAGGTTTATATTGCACGTGAAGAATTTACCAAATGCAGTTGCTACACAAAATATTTTCTTTACAATTGAAATTTAGATTATGCAAGTAAGAAATTGATGACAATTTAATTTGATTCAATTTAATCAAGTTACCTTAAATAATTTAATATACATTAATACATCCATTTTGTGCAAAAAATGCGGAAAGAGCGTCAATTTCATCGTCCAAGTCAAAAAATTCATTTAAATGCTCATATTTTGATTTTCGGGCTTGGTAGGTGATGATATGCATGGAACAATAGTCATATAATTGGTACTTGACTGAGGCATGATAAGAAAGCCTCAAACACAAACCAAAAGCCATGGTAGGCCTCTTTATGAGGCAATTTCAAGTGACCACATATGGTAACTTGCCCATGAAAGGGTTAAGTCAAGGTCTGATGACCTGAGTGGCAGAAGACATGTCTTGTCTTGATGATTATGAAGTGAATAGCTGCAAGCCTTGATAAGCTTTCCTTCCTGATAATGCCATTATAAACATGCCTGTAGATTTGTAAGATGGATATTTTTTGTTTTATATATAATTTATGTGGAATAAATAATAAATTAGATATAATTTATGTGAAATATTCAGAAAGTTATTGTGCATTGCAGGAATGTGAGCCTGACTTTGAAGGTTTTCAAGATGACAGTCATCCCTGCAGAGAAGCACATCAGCAGCTCTCAGACCTTGGCTCTGTGACATCCACACCAGAGGGTTCCTCCTGCCCTCAAGACCAGAGCCACAGAGAAGATGCTCATTACAAAAGTGGCAAGAAGCCTTTTGGAGATGATACTGCATTTGTTGAAACCCCTTCTGAGGCTGGCAAGCCAACATTGCTCTCATCAACAGGAAAGAAAACTGGAAGACTAAGAAAGCCCTCCAGAAAAGCCCTTGAAGGAGATGGAGAAACCCAAAGTAAAGCCAAAGTTGCACATGCCAGATTAAACTGTTCACTATCCAATGTTGTGAGGAGCAGCAATAGGCTTGTTGAGCCCATTAGAAACAAATATGAGGATGACTTCACACCTCCAGGCATTCCCAGCCGCAGTTCTCCCAGCCCTGACCGGGGAGGGGATAGAGTCAGCCGAAACATTGCTCTTTATGCAGACACCATCTCCAACATTCTGCCTGTGGCATGCACACGTCCTACCAGGAGAAGTAAGTCAATATGTCAACCATCAATACAGTATGAACTTCCATGAGCAAATGTTCATGGCTTGAATTTCTACCAAAATAGCAACCAGTCTGAATTTATAGTTGTATGCTGCATTACCTCTCATGTAATAACTGTTAGTTACCCTGCTTGTAGTAACCATCAAAAGAGCAACTGTTGTAGGAAGAACAACTGGGTTAAAGTAGAAGCCCAAAAACCTATGAACTTGCTGTAGCTTTTTTTCCTTGCTAATAGCCCCATCCCTTTGATTAATATCAGTTACTTGGTAGTATGTTTTAATGTTAATGTGTTTCATGACACTGGTAGTTGCAAATGTGTGCTGCCTTCAGCTATGCAATGTGTCATATCTGCTCTAAGGCTCCTGGAGTTGCTATAATCAAGTTGCAGCTAAACGAAATGATAAGCTGCTCTTTATTTAACTAGAGTTTACAGGACAATATGATCTTTAGTCAGATATAATAAGGCTGCAATTAGTAGAAATAAAGATTCATTGTTCACTTTGGTTCACACGACTTTCCTCGCAGGTGTAGCGGTGGCAGCAGACAAGGCTGGCCAGGTGGCACCTGAGGCCCTCAAACTGCATGACAAGATAGAGAAGCTTCTGCAGTCTCCGTGGGATGAGCGCATCAGGCTCTCAGCTGCCAACAACAAGGTATTGCATTAGAGGGCCAGCTCTCAGCTGCCANACAAGGTACTGTATTAGAGTGCCAGCTCTCAGTGGCAAAAATTTTATTTACCATCATTTTCCTGATCTACTTTGTCATGTTTCAGGTCTCAGCAGGCGCTGCGCACTCTGTGGCCGTCTCCAAGAATATACTCCGCAAGGCTCGTCTGAATCTCAACAAACGCACGCTGCAGAAAATCAGAAACCCTGTGTCCGTGCAGCACCTGCTGGTGCAGCAGAGGGAGGGTGCGTGTGTCGTGTGTTGTTTTGGTGCAGCAGAGAAAGGGTGCCTGTGTTGTGTTGGTGCAGCAGAGGGAGGGTGCCTGTGTTGTGTTGGTGCAGCAGAGGGAGGGTGCCTGTGTTGTGTTGGTGCAGCAGAGAGAGGGTGCCTGTGTTGTGTTGGTGCTGCAGAGGGAAAGTGCCTGTGTTGTTTTGGTGCAGCAGAGAAAGGATGCATGTGTTGTGTTGGTGCAGCAGAGGGAGGGTGCGTGTGTTGTGTTGGTGCAGCAGAGGGAGGGTGCCTGTGTTGTGTTGGTGCAGCAGAGAAAGGATGCATGCTGTCTCTTATACACATCTAGATGTGTATAAGAGACAGTGTTAANTTGTGTTGGTGCAGCAGAGAAAGGATGCCTGTGTTGTGTTGGTGCAGCAGAGAAAGGATGCATGTGTTGTGTTGGTGCAGCAGAGAAAGGATGCATGTGTTGTGTTGGTGCAGCAGAGGGAGGGTGCCTGTGTTGTGTTGGTGCGGCAGAGGGAGGGTGCCTGTGTTGTGTTGGTGCGGCAGAGAGGAGAGACAGTGCAAGTCTGGAGCGAGTGAGGGTGTAGAAAGTTGCAGATGGTCTTGGAATGCTGCAGTTCAGTCCTAGCATAATAAGAAATGAGATAGTGCCATGTACATTGTAAGTGTAGAACATTTTATTGCTCAAATTGATGTGCTGTTGAGATTCTGATAATAATGAGCAGGTATATATAAATATATTGTTCTCTCAATGCATATGCATGTAATGCAAATGAACAGCTTCAACAGTTCCTGGTCTGATAATGAATTGTTTGGGCAGCTGGCGGCAGCTGCGGTGTGTGCCAAGTATGGGGCTGCTGGGAGACGCTCTACAACACAACCTGCTGTCAGCAGTGCACCTCCTTCCTGTCATCCCTGGCAGACAAGTCACTTCTTCAGGAGATACCATGCAGCCTAGGGTGTGGTGGGTGCCAGCTCAATGGCATCTCTGCAGAGGCGCGCTGCAGGGCCTGCTGGCTGTGCCAAGCTCTACTCGCGTGCACTCTGCCCAGCCTGCAACATGACAGGCTCAGGAAGAGGCTGCCGTCTGTCCTCAAGCAGAAGGTGCCTACAAGCCTCGCGAGGAGCGTGTGTGCCTCTGAGGCTTACCCTGGCAAGCTCAGCACTTTGAGTCCCATAGGGCTGGATGCATCTGCGGGAATGTTTGGTTGTGTTGTGGACCTGCCCGGCGGGTGGAAGAGGAAGACCGGCCCTGAAGTGGTCGTCATTGCCCCCTCAGGAGAGCGCTTCAAATCTATCCCTAAACTTGAGGAATACCTCCTAAGGTTGGGCGTGTGTGCTGATGCCCGGGTGCTGTTTGGGGGCTGTGATCCTGCTGCTGTGGGGCCTAAAGGTAGTCAGGGCTCAGCAGCCACTGATCTTGATTTTATTAACAGTACTTCAGATGAAGGCAAACTTCCCAAGAAGAAAAAGAAGAAGAAAAAGAAGAAGCACAAGAGCAGGTGCCGCACTAAGGATGAAGCAAGACTGAGGGTTGGTAGCAATGGCACCACGAACAATAATTGCATCACAACTACCTTGCCTGGTGGATGGGTGAGGCGCACAGTCTTCAGGCAGTCCAATGGTAGGGCAAGGTTTGACGTGTATGTCTTCAGCCCCGATGGACGAACTTTCAGGTCCCGCAAGCACTTGGCTGCTTATTTCCAGCAAATAGGCAAAGTGGACGACGTCAATAAATATTTCCCATTGTTCCATGAGAGACGCAGCCCAACTGCAACCTCTGGCGAGCTCACTGAGTCGAGCACAGAGCCTGAGTCCAGACCTGAGTCAGTCTCCGAGGTTCTGTCAGAGACTGACGAGAACGAGGTTCTGTCTCCGGCCGCCTCTGACCATGAAGAAGAGGGGGGCAGGGACGCCGTGCCCCAGGTCGTGGGTAGTCCAAAGGAGCCGTTGTTGGATGTATCGTGCGGTGATGCTAGTCATGAGGATTTTGTTGGCTTTGAGAGCAAATGCCCTGCAGTACAAATAGAGTCTGTCGAGACCCCTGTAGATACGGTGAAGAGAGATGGGACAACTGGTGATATTCCTGGTGATATATCATGTGATAATAATTCTAGTGTAGATATCGCAAAAAGCAAGAGAATTTCTATTAGTTTCCCAATTCCTGTTGAACAATCCATATACGAGGTGTGTCAAAGAGTTGAACACAAGGAACCTCCTAAGTTCAAGGCGTTCCAGACGCAGCATTTGGACGGCGGTTGGTCGCGCAAAATTAAATGGAATCAAGAAGGTGTGGGCAAAGTTTCATTTGTGGTCACACCTGCTGGATCTAAGATCCACTCAAACCTTGAACTGCAAGCCTACTTCAAGAAGGAGGGCGGCTCCACTCTGGATGCTGCTAAATATTTCCCTAACCAACTGAGACGAGAGGACGTCCCTGCCAACGTGATTCCCTCGCCTCGGGTCTTCAAGCTCAAACAAAACGTCGTCAAGAGGGACAAGAAGAAACAGCAATTATGTGATGTGACCGCCGTTTCCTCAGTGGACGGCGGCGTTTTGGCCGCGCCCCTGCCGGTGGAGGCGTCCCCTGGGCCGCGCATCAAACGTGTCTGCAGGAGTCTGGAGCAGGTAAGCTGCGTTGCTTTGTGTCTTATCAGTACTAACACACTGATGGATCAGCAATTTATCCTGCCGTAGCCATACGCCAACTCCATATATTTTCATCATTCATGTTGTATTTTATGCAGGCTACTTCATGGTTGTGTTGCTCATTGATGCGTTGCTTGCAGGCACTTGGGATGCCCAGGGCGACGTTCCCACCTCTCGAAAACAAGGACCCGGGAACTGACAAGGATGGCGAGGCTGACAAGGATGGTGGAGCTGACAAGGAAATCGGAGCTGAGAATGTGGACACAGCCGACAAGGGCAAAGCTGACGAGGGTGGAGCAGACAAGGAGAATAAGGACGTGCTGGAGACCGAGTCTTCTGGGAGCGCATACGAGTCAGCGACGAGCGCCGCCACCTCGGATGCTCCCTATGACCCCAGCAACAACACCAACAATAACAACAAGAAGAAGAAGCTGAAGAAACAAGCCAAGGTTTATTCCGTGACGCTCACGGCCGCCGGCAAGGTGGGGGCTGTTGTGTGGCGTGTGGGCTGTTGTGTGGCGTGTGGGCTGTTGTGTGGCGTGTAGCATTACGCCGTGTGGGCTGTTGCAACACTCCCGGGCTTTTCCACACAAATGAAGAACATGGTCGTGTATTTGCAGGCAGCGGCGCTGCATCAACCCTCGGCTATCCGTGCATTCGAGCATGCAGGCGCCTGTCATCCCAAAGGACGTCCCCCAGGATGCACCTACGTCACTACCTTCAAAAGACGCTCCTCCTGAAGGCGACAAGACCAGTGTGGGCGCTAAGAAGGTTCCTGCAAAGGCCACCAAACGCGCCATCAAGAAGATGGAGGAGATGCAGCGGCGCGCTGAGCAGGAGGAGCAAGAGGACCTGGCCGACCAGAGCTGGAGGAGCAGTAGAAGGGCGGCATCTGCTGGGGTCGACCTAGACAGGAGCGTTTTCGTGCCCCAGCAGATCATGAGGCCTCCTGTGGAGAATAAGGTGGGGGGATAAGGTTTGGTGGATTGGGGGGGTTGTGGTGTGACGCAGAAGCGTGAGAGTAGTAGTACAGGCTGTTAGTGGTGCATGGCTTTGATAGTGCAGGGTGATAGTACTGTTGAAGTTCTCCATAAATTGCGGACCTAATGTTAGAGGAACTATTTTGGGCGTTGTGTAGAGACGCTCACTCAGGCTGACTGCTTGCTGAAGCTTCCCTGCCCCTACAGGAGAGAGGTGATGCGGAGGTGAGCAAGTGCGCCGCCCCTGGGGCGCTCGTCAATATTGACTACTGGCGGGGCTGCGGCGGCGACCTCCTGCAGGAGGGCTTCCCTGTGCTGCAGTCTGCACCCCTGCACCTGACGGCGCTCTGCTACACCTGCGGTTCTGCGGGTGCTGAGGAGGTAGGGGCCTGGGGGAGGGAGGCGCCCTTGATGGACCATGCGTGCCCATTGAGACACTCAGAGACTTGTTATTACTGATAAGCTCCTTTATTGCCAAGTGCCATTATCTACCTACCTCTTGGTACCACTATCTGCCAGCTGGTACCTTTATCTGCCAGCTGGTACCATTATCTGCCTCTTGGTACCATTATCACAAGTTTCTCCATCTCTTCAGCTTTTGATTATTATTGGCCATCGTTTGTACGGATTATCTCGTATTGTTCTATCATTTGTTCATCATTGCGAAGCCCTCACCGTTGCGTGTCGTTACAGATGCTGTGGTGCAGCTGGTGCTGCGAGGGCGTCCACCCGTACTGCCTGGGGGAGGGCGAGGGCCCCCAGAGTAGCAAGGAGGAGCAGAGTTGGGTGTGTCGACGGTGCGCCGTGTGCCACGTGTGTGGTGCTTCCCACCACCCCAGCCTACCCCTCCACAGGTATGGTGCCCAACTCAGTAGTAATGTAATACAATATGTGTTCTAAGTATTGCAGGTGCTCTGCGTGCCTGTTCTACCAACTGCTAACTCCTGCCTGTATTGCAGGTGCTCTGCGTGCCTATTCTACTACCACCTGCAGTGCCTGGGGCCCGGCGCTCACGGTTCATGCAGTCCCCCCAACCACGCCTTGTGGGTGAGTACCGTGCTACACGCTGCCTCCATAGGGGAAGTGAAGGCAGGCACCCACATAGGGCACAGCTTGGGGAGAGGGGGAAGTTGTGCAGGTTACTACGTGGCAATGCTGTGCAGTGATGTTATACGCTTTCTTTGCTTGCTGTGCCTGCTGCGATGTTATTCACTTGCCTATTGAAGCAATCAAGGCCTGTAGCGTAATGCTGTGCTAAAATTCAAACTGCGTCCCACCTCCCGCATCTTGGGAGGGTGGGAGTGCCCCCGGCGTCTCTGTGTACACCAGTAGATACGGTAGGTGGCAACTATGTCCTCCTTGGAGAAGCCCCAGTTGGTGCCAGCAAGGGCTTTTAGTATGCGCAGAGAACCCGTCGCTTTCGTGGCAGTGTACACCAGTAGAGAGGACGAGCAAGATGACCAGCAGCGGTGCTCAGTCTGCCCCCCTCCCACCCACCAGCGCGCTTATGTTGTCTGAAGGCGGCCTATCTGGACGATGCAGTTGTTGTTGTAATTGTCCATCATGGTAGTGGCGACTAGGGAGGGGCGGGTGATAGGTCAGTTTTCCGGGCCCTAATACCACTGGTCAGTTTTCTGGGCACTAATACCACTGGTAGTTCCACGACCATCACTGGCTCGCTGACCCGCCAGAACCATTTGGTTGCATTACACAACACCCTGGATAAGCCACTTGAAGCCAGGTACTCATTTATCAACCAGAGTTGTATGAATGGCTGAGTTGACCATGAGCTGAGCTTCCCGGTAGAACTTGTCCTCAGTGGGACTCGAACCCGGGTGCTGGGTGCGAGAGAAATGAGCTGAGCTTCCTGGTAGAACTTGTCCTCAGTGGGACTCGAACCCGGGTGCTGGGTGCGAGAGACAAGTCTCTCACCACAGCTCGGACGATGCAGCCCCTCAATTCGCTGTTGCTGTGGAGGCGTTAGTGCATCTAAAGACTAAAAGCTACATTGAAGGGAGGGCAAAGTATGTAATGAGGAGCTCAGCGTTACTTCTCTGATGCATCGTCTCATCCCACGTTCCTGTGTCATCTAACGCGATCAGCTGACGAGATCTGCTGCTGACACCATGTTTGTGTCAGGGTGGCCAGACGAGAACATGTCCATTATATTTCATTCAAGGTGCCTGTGTGCATTTGACTGGCTCATTATGCTGCTCGCTATGTTCTCATCATGCTGCACGCTATGTTCTCATCATGCTGCACGCTATGTGCTCATCATGCTGTATGCTATGTGCTCATCATGCTGTACGCTATGTGTTCATGCTGTACGCTTTATGCCCATAATATTTAATTTTATTTTGTATCACTTGTGCTATATGTGATGTGCCCATTGTGTTGCTCGTGCTTTGTGCTGCATATGTGTGCGCGCTGTAGCATCGTCTCGGCCTTCACTCTTCACTAAAGTCAAGCGCTGTTCTCCCACCCCTGCTGGTGGTAGCTGCCGGGGGCTGTGCACCACGGCGCTGCCCCAGTTCATCCAGCGAGCCACAATGTCCGTCCGTCCGTCCGTCTTGCCCCTCACTAATGCCGCCATCATCTCAACAATTGTTGCTTAAAATAAATAAAACGCTCACCCTCTATTTTCTTGGGGGGGCTATTCACCCCAGTTACAGAAAATATTTACTATGCATTAGTACAGACAAAGAAATCCTGGGTGCAAAGTTTACCTCGTCAATGCAGACGGAATTGCTCAATAATATAGGGAGGCCTGGCGGTGCGGGGGGCGGCGCTGAAGGCCACAAGGGTCATGGGAGAGCCGTGTCTTGACTTTTAAACATTCCTTGCTCGATGAGTTCTTAATGCCGATGAAGAATTAGACCATTTGTTTAAAATTCTAGACACTTGGCTGATGGTTCCCATGTCTTCCCTTGTGGTTTTCAGGAATGGGACTTGTTGAGGCATTTGAGTTGGTCGTGGCCGCCCCCGCCGCCGCTTTTCAGCGTTCGTTGTGACAGCGGACAGGAAGATTGCCTCTACAGCCCGGCGTCTCATCCAAGCCTTAAGAAGCAGAACTCTTGCCAAGAAGCTGCTTTACCCATCACACAGTTTGATAAAATCTGCGTTTATAGCAGCGATATATCAACAAACCCAGGATTACTTGATGCCAAGTTGACCAAGGAACTGGAAACAACTGTTCTCACCCTCCTCGATGACGTGCCAGAGTTTACAGATAGCAACGAAGAACCTGTTATCTACGCCCTGCCTCCTGCTGGCGGCACCAGACAAGACTCGGAAGCTTTGGACCTTCCTGAGGTGACGTGCGTCACGGACGATCTTGGCAACCTGGACCTCATGGAGATAGAGGGCATGGACCTGGACTCTCTCATCGAAGGTCTTGATGATCCCGACGACATCTTTGAGGATCAGTTCAACGACAACAACGTCATCGAGCTCCTGATGAACGTAGAGTTGTCAGGCCCTTCGGGTGGCGCAAGCCGCACAGTGCTTAGCATGGCGGATGATGAGTACCTCTGCTTGGGCTACAAGAAGATCACTGAATATACGCGCTCCGTGGAGCTCTCCAACTTCCGCCTGCTGCAGATGGCGCAGGTTGAGCTGTTCTCTGCCTTGGGCTGGCCCAGTGTCAAGGAACTGGAGCGCAAGCAAGTGATCAGTTACAGACGACGCGGCAGGAGGAAGCTCTGCCATGCTGAGGTGACCGCGCCATGTCGCTGCGACTCTGACACGGACACAGCTTCTGAAGGATCTGAGGTGAGAAATACTGTTAACTGTGTTGAATAATACTGATAACTGTTGAATAATAATGATAACTGTTGAATAATACTGGTAACGGTGTTGAATAATGCTGGTAACTGTGTTGAGTAATGCTGGTAACTCTGTGTTGAGTAATGCTGGTAACTCTGTGTTGAATAATGCTGGTAACTGTTGAATAATGCTGGTAACTGTGTTGAATAATGCTGGTAACTGTGTTGAGTAATGCTGGTAACATGTGCAGGAATACAAACGCTGTGTTGAGTAATTACTAGTGACATTAATTTCTTAGGTAATGACTAGGCAAGGTCAGCAAGTTACTCACAACACCAACCACTTCTCACTCGTATCATCATTTTCTTTGGAAAGCACGTATGTTTCACTCTCCTCGTTCGTTGCATTTATAATCTGTTCAAGACACTAAACCTCTTTGCCCTGGGTCTTATATAGTTTGACTTATCATAATTTGTTCATAGCGTAGAATAAGTATACACAGAAGGAATTTTCTCAAAATATAAACTCTTGTTTATAATAGACGATATTACGGCTTTCGAGCTTATTTTCACGCTGTTTTGGACTATAAACGCACGTTTTGAGGATGTGTGATATTTTCCGCCTGTGAAGAAGACAGTGTTATTTAGTGTGCGTGTCTGAATTGAATGAGTGTTATTGTATTAAATTTTAGAAGAGAAATTTCATGGAATGTCCCCTCGAGCAGGCCTCCTCGGGGGATGAAGAGGAGCTAGACTGGCCCTGCGTGCTGAGGACGCGTCGTCAGGAGGTCCTGGAGAAGCACAAAGACCGCCTGCTCCTGAAAGAGGCACAGCGCAGACTCTGCAAAGAAATGGAGGACGTGAAACTAAGACAACTCAAGGAAAAGATGCAACGCTTCAAGAAGAAAGAACAAAAGAAACTCGTGAAGAGAATAAAAGTTGTTGCCAAGCGTAGCTCTGTTGACCAAGAGGAACAAGCAGAAGACGATGACGATATGTGGGAGCCAATACCGCGCAAGAAGAAGAAGAAGTTCAAGAAGCAAGTCAAGGAAGAGAAGGCGGAGGTCGAGGCTGTTATGAACGAGCCCTTCACTCAGTACGACGAGTTGTTCTTCAGGCCTCCCAGTGATGAGGAAGATCATGAGGACTTTAGGCGGACGATGGCGGCCGCGTGGCGCCCCAGCAACTTCCAGGAGCTTGACTTCTGGCTCGCTTACCGTGAGAACTTGGGTAAAGCTGAGTCTTGTCCTCGGCGGAGGTATAAAAGACGTATTTCAGAGGATGAAATAAGCAAGCATGAGCAAGAACCGTTCCCTGAAGATGCTGAGACCGACACTGATGCGGACGATTTTGTTGACATAACCAAATTTTGTGACCGCAAGAAGCGCCATCGTGAAAACAGTCCACACAAAGCCAGGGCAGGCAAGTCATCGAAGAGCGCGACCAGAAAAATCCTGAAGAAAATTTCAGTGGCTGACCAGAAAAAACTGAAGCGACGGAAAAAATTGCTTCTCATGAAGAAGAAGCGCCAGGGGCAGCAACGGAAGGAGGCTGCTCCTGTTGGGAGCTCCCCTGACACCGCGATGATGAGAGCAAACAACTGGCCAACGCTCACCAAACTAACTCAGGCCATCAGGACCAGCAGGTTGAGAGCACAAAATGGAGGTAACCGTCCTAAGAAGCGCCGCAGGGAGCGGGACATCAGTTGTGGACCTGAAACGAAGAAATCCCGCACGGAGGAAAGTGAGGAAATTGTGCTGGGGTCGGAGGGCGAGGGGTTCATCCTGGAGTGTGGGGGCATCTCAGATGACGACACGGCGGCCAGGTCTTACATTGTGGAGGTTATGGATGCTGGGGACATGTCAAAGCAGGGTGCAGTGCCCTCATCTGATCCTGACTGCACGCTTGTCTCGCGTCACCAGGACGATGATGGCCACGCAGAACGCCATGTCGAAGAGAAGACCACGCACGACAGCAACACTGACGGTGACTACTCAACGCTCTTGTCAAATGGCCGCGCCAGTTTTATTGAGTCCCCCAGCACGCTGGACCGTGCACACCCAGTGGATACAAGAACAGAAGGCCCCCACAGTGGGGCGGAGCGAGGCGGCCCTAATGAGGGGGTGGAAGGAAGCACCCGCAGCAGGGGACGCGTCAGCTGCGGTAGGGCGAGTCTGTTGGCCAGCCTCAGGAAGGCGAGGCTGGACGCCTGAGGTCCAGGCGTTTGCAGGAGAGTTAATCAGCAATTAGCTTCGTGTGATCCTAATAATTGGCTGTAGAACGCAGCAAGCTAATATGTTGATGTACCTATATATATCGTAGATATATACCCTATATTTATGACGGTAAATAAAGGGTATAAAATGTTGATCTCAATACGCTGCACTCTCTACTGCAATATATTATTGCTGCCTGCAACATCCCCCGGCCCTCCTGCAACACATTGTTGCTGCCACCAAAGATTCTGCATAAGGTTTGGACGTGCAGGCCGCCGATGTCTGACAGCGTTGCAGACCTGCGAGCGTTCTCTATTTCTGACCAACATACGTCATCCCACGTGTCCACGTGCCATTACACGTGTCCTCCAGATCACGACGGGTGTTCGCCTGCATCATTAAATGTAAGGCAGAAGACTCGCCCTCCTCTCGTGCCCACGATGAGATAACGAGCGTCGCTCTGGGTACTTCATGCCTGCTTCTCCTCCGCCTCTCTGGTCATGCGATGCCTGCGTGTTTTTCTCCTAGTTTCTGAAGAGATAAAATACCTGGCACTAAATATCAGGCAAAGCCTAATACGTGTCTCTCAGCTGTCTGGTGTGGTGCCATCAAGGTGGTGCCACTGCAGTGGTGCCATCTCTGGTGCATCTTCAGTGGTGCCATCTCTGTGGTGCCATCACTGTGGTGCCTCTACAGTGCTGCCATCACTGTGGTGCCTCTTCAGTTGTGCCATCACTGTGGTGCCTCTACAGTGGTGCCACTACAGTGCTGCCATCACTGTGGTGCCTCTACAGTGCTGCCACTACAGTGCTGCCATCACGGTGGTGCCAGTACAGTGCTGCCATCACGGTGGTGCCAGTACAGTGCTGCCATCACTGTGGTGCCTACGGGTTGTAGTGCTGTGGTTGTCAGCTAAGCTGATCACGTCACAATGTCTAAGCGTTACGTGCTGTAATTCATTCAACTTAATATTCCTCTTGCATTATGAGATGATGTGCTTTATGCTTTATTTAATGTATGTCCCCGCCTGTGTAGTGTGTAGTCTGTGTCAGACTCTCCTGTACATTCCGTGGCCAGAACCCACGCGTTACTCTGATGGCATTACATGCTCGTGTACTACTTGTACGATCTCGACTGTATAAATCGGTCTTCATTAATTACTTGTACATCTCGTGTAATAAATCCAGACCTTGTTATTGACAGATTTATTATTGCCCACTGCTAACAAACGCCTCGTTTGAAGAACATTTTATTACTAAGCTAGGTAATGATGGTGACACTGTCTCTTATACACATCTAGATGTGTATAAGAGACAGGCCCAACTCAGTCTACCTCTACCCTGAACACCTTACGCCTGCTAACCCCAACTCGCCGCTTTCTGAAAGCCGCTTACTCTCGAGTCTGTAACCGAGTTTTACAGTACTTATTAAATTTTTACGATTTTACTCTACTTGACTCAGTTTTTAAGTTGTGTTTTCTTAGCTCTTGCATTTCATGATGACTGTACAGACAAGAAAAAGGTCAATTGGAAAGGCCTCTAGTCGTGTTAGACTGAATGCGAAGATCAAATCACAAAATGAGCGAGGGGAAATTTGTAAATTTTGCAAGCTGGNAGTGACCTTGAACTACAGCTGAGTCAGGCTACCTAGTGACCTTGAACTACAGCTGAGTCAGGCTACCTGGTGACCTTGAACTATAGCTGAGTCAGGATACCTAGTGACCTTGAACTACAGCTGAGTCAGGCTACCTGGTGACCTTGAACTACAGCTAAGGAGGGCCTTACTTCCCCCCCAAGGTCATCGCTCAACTTGGTGTCTTTAAAGGCATTCCCCACTGGATGGGTCAACCGAGCCTCCACTCTGTGGTCTTATAGTTCACTCCCCATACATGTATAATGTCCTCACTCCCCTTACGTGCTCCTTAATCCTCCCCCTCCCCAGAGATGCATGGGGTCTAGCAGCGCACCCCCATCCCACCTACATGCTCCCTAACCCTCCCTCTTTCCCCAGAGGTGTGTGGGGTGCTCACGCTGCAGCTCCCCTCCCCCCATCACCCCCCCCCTCAGGGGGGACTTCTGACGGGTGTCTGTGCTCGTCAGAAGTCCTATGGGATTTCGCGCTCCTAGGGGGATTGTTCCTGAGCGCCCCACCGCAGAGCTCGCGGTGTCTGACTGTAGGTCTCAGTTGTACGAGGTACTCATGGTGATAAATGTCGGGCTGGAGGTAGCCGCCCACGGCCATGCTGCTGCGCCGCCTCGAGGTTCTTCTACAAGTTAACCCCAGTCGGCCTCTGGGCGTTGCGAACGCCACAGCTTCGTTGTTGATTATATTCGAGGTTTAGTTCTTCTCGAGTACAAACTTGATCATGAGCCTGAGTTGTATTAGGACTCGTTAATCGCGCCGCTTTATTTATTTACATGCGAACCTGACAGACCATGGCTGATGACTTACGCCTCTCAATACAGTGACTGCCTGAGTTGTCTTCAAGGGGAGTTGTCTTCATAAACATGAGTTTATAACAACAATATCAAATGTTAGGAGCGATAATAACCTTGCATAATGCATTGTAATGAAGTCTGAAGCTTCATCGATGTCTGAACCCCGATGAAGTCTGTGCTTCATCGGGGTTCGTTTCATTCGGATACTTAAAACATTCAGGAACACCAACAATTTAACACAATTTAATGGAACAAAGCAAGAAGCAAAATTTACATTAAGAGTTAACACCATACATCTAACTATCTGGCACATTAGCTACTCAGTCTACCGATAAACAGGCGACATCTGCGAATTCCTTAAACAGGAAAATCTGCTGCACTTCTCCAATCTTCGAAGTAAGAAGACGGTTCACGTGGTGAACGTTAAGCACGAGCAGCTTCAAGGACAAGCTCTGAGAGTGCCACCTCGAGTCCAGTCCACGAGAGATCAGCAGCAACCCTACACGTTGAAAATAATAATACTTATGAACTGACTGAAACTAATCATTTAAGCATGTTAATTATGGAATCGCAATATTATCACTAAATAGCAACTGAATATGAAATAGAAGCAGCATATTTTATTGTCTAATCTCAATTTGGTTGAACGGAACATCTTACCAATAAAGGCAGGGTAGGTTAACTTGAACCACAGCGAGTTAAGGCGTAATGGTTATCGTCAACCATGCCTAGAAATGGGTTGTTCACAGGAGGACTGCTGGGTAACGACTAGTCTAAGGTCCGGTCTATCACTCTTGTCGAGTGTTTCCAACTGATGCCTTCTAGAATTCAATTTNAATGAGATGCGTGCATCAACCGACGTCCGCACGGGACGAAGAACTGTATATCACTACTCAAGATCAGCGCTTCCGCAATCCGAACTACCTCTCACTGCTTTGTCTCAAGCCGGGTAGTTGATAACTAACCTCCCACTCCTTATTAGGGAGTATAAAGGGGATTGTTTTGGTACCCCTGCCTCTGCACGCAATACACGCATCTTGATGTATTACAAGCAATGCTCGCGTGTTCATGTACGCATATCGCAAGAAAGTTCGCACAAGCTGTCTCTTATACACATCTAGATGTGTATAAGAGACAGGTATATAACCACAATATCAATGTTAGATGCGATATTAACCCTGCATTATGTTACGTGGTTGAGCTTGAGTTCTCTTCAAGGGGTTAACGTGAGTATATAACCACAATATCAATGTTATATGCGATATTGACCCTGCATTATGTTGCATGGTCGCTACAAACGCGGCGCCTGCAAATGTTGAGGCGCCCTTACCGTGATATGGAGGCCTACCGCGCTGCTCTTGTTCTACTGCCGGAGCTCTGACACTTTAAAAGCTGATGTAATTTTGCGTACAAATAACCTAGCAAAAGCTTAGTCTTGTTTTTGGCAAGCTCATGCACGACATGGTGCGTGCCATACTGCACGACATGGTGCGTGCCATGCTGCACGACATGGTGCGTGCCATGCTGCACGACATGGTGCGTGCCATGCTGCACGACATGGTGCGTGCCATGCTGCACGACATGGTGCGTGCCATGCTGCACGACATGGTGCGTGCCATGCTGCACGACATGGTGCGTGCCATGCTGCACGACATGGTGCGTGCCATGCTGCACGACATGGTGCGTGCCATGCTGCACGACATGGTGCGTGCCATGCTGCACGACATGGTGCGTGCCATGCTGCACGACATGGTGCGTGCCATGCTGCACGACATGGTGCGTGCCATGCTGCACGACATGGTGCGTGCCATGCTGCACGACATGGTGCGTGCCATGCTGCACGACATGGTGCGTGCCATGCTGCACGACATGGTGCGTGCCATGCTGCACGACATGGTGCGTGCCATGCTGCACGACATGGTGCGTGCCATGCTGCACGACATGGTGCGTGCCATGCTGCACGACATGGTGCGTGCCATGCTGCACGACATGGTGCGTGCCATGCTGCACGACATGGTGCGTGCCATGCTGCACGACATGGTGCGTGCCATGCTGCACGACATGGTGCGTGCCATGCTGCACGACATGGTGCGTGCCATGCTGCACGACATGGTGCGTGCCATGCTGCACGACATGGTGCGTGCCATGCTGCACGACATGGTGCGTGCCATGCTGCACGACATGGTGCGTGCCATGCTGCACGACATGGTGCGTGCCATGCTGCACGACATGGTGCGTGCCATGCTGCACGACATGGTGCGTGCCATGCNGATGCTAACGCTGCTTCCTTCGAGCCAGCTTCAGCGGGCTGGACATCTGAGACCTTCCGCCCCTTGTGGGTGATGAATAATTGAGACCTTCCACCTTTATGGTGATGTTCATCTTGACTTTCGGTGCGAGATAGCTTAATAGCTGAAGCGCTAGTAAACATTTGGACACTAAACTAACTAAACCCCATCACCCCTACATACTCCCTAACCCTCCCTCTTCCCCCAGAGGTGTGTGGGGTGCTCACGCTGTAGCTCCTGCAGCAGCGCCGGCATCACGAGCTGGCTGCTGCTGCCCCCCTCTACCGTGCGCCTCCCCTCCACCCCCGCCAAGCTCTCCAACATGGCCACCCAGCCCCCCACCATCACAGCCTCACGCCCCCACACGCAAGACAATAAAACTGGCAACTTTAAGCCTACTAAACTACCTGGCGACTTGAGTGAACCCAAACGCCTTGAGGGGGGCGCGCCCCCGGCCACTTCTGGTATGGGGGTGCCTGCACCTTCGCCTTCTGGGAGTAGCCTCACTCCTCCCCACCACCCCGGGCAGTCTCATCCCCAGGTCACAGCCCCTCAGGTCACCAAGCCCACGAATTTCCGTGACTCTGTGGACTGCCAACAAGCTCCCAAGTCCCAGAAATGCCTCCCGCCCCCCGGGGACGTACAAGTCGCAACAGAGTTGGGGGTTCGGAAGGCGACTGCGGGCGAGGGGACGGGCGGGGAAAACTTGAGGGAGGTGAGAGGAGTGGACGAGGAGCATGGGGAAGAAGAGGAAGAGAAGCGTGGGGAAGAGGAGGAAGAGGCTGAGGAGAGGTTCGTGGGGCTGTGCTCGCGCTGCGTGCAGCTCAGGGCGAGGAACAACTTCTGCCCGCTGTGCCAGGGCTGCTACGAGGACGACGACTATGATGCTAGGGTGAGTTGGGGGACTAGGGTGAGTTGGGGGTCTAGGGTGAGTTGGGGGACTATGATGAGTTGGGGAACTAGGGTGACTTGGGAATAGGGTGAGTTGGGGAGACTAGGGTGAGTTGGGGGACTAGAGTGACTTGGGAATAGGGTGAGTTGGGGGACTAGGGTGAGTTGGAGGGAATAGGGTGAGTTGGAGGACTAGGGTGAGTTGGAGGGACTAGGGTGAGTTGGGGGAACTAGGGTGAGTTGGGGGACTAGGGTGAGTTGGAGGGATTAGGGTGAGTTGGGGGACTAGGGTGAGTTGGAGGACTAGGGTGAGTTGGAGGACTAGGGTGAGTTGGAGTACTAGGGTGAGTTGGGGGGGATTAGGGTGAGTTGGGGGACTAGGGTGAGTTGGGGGACTAGGGTGAGTTGGGGGACTAGGGTGAGTTGGGGGGACTAGGGTGAGTTGGGAGGACTAGATTGAGTTGGGGGGACTTGGGCGAGTTCGGGGTTGGGGGGACTTGGGCGAGTCTGGGGTTGTGGGGCTAGTGTGAGTTGGGGGGACTAGGGTGAGTTGGGGGGACTAGGCTGAGTTAGAGGGACTAGGCTGAGTTAGAGGGACTAGGCTGAGTTGGAGGAATTAGGGTGAGTTGGAGGAACTAGGGTGATTTAGAGATCCTGAGCTAATAATGTCGTGCAGGAGGGCAAGGAGTGGGTGCAGTGGCGTGCAGTAATGTCTTGTCTTCAGATGATGGAGTGCGGCCGCTGCAAGGAGTGGGTACACGCGGAGTGTGAAGGGCTGAGCAACGAACACTACCAAATCCTAAGCTGTCTCCCAGACTCCGTGGACTATACCTGCCGCCTCTGCCTGGGCCCCAACAACGGCAGCTACTTGGCCTCCATCATGGCCGAGCTCAAGGTCGGCATGGCGCTCGTCCTTGACAAGCTCATGGCGAGCCGCCACACCCGTCATCTCGTCCGCCGGGGCTTCTATCAGGAAGGCCAATCTTATGGGAAGCGCCACAGCTCTCCTGGGGTCGGTGGCGGGCACGGCCGCCCTGACGGAGGGGGAACAAGGAAGGCTGTTACCAAAAAAGCCGTGGTCAGGATTCCCAGGCTACGTGAACTTCCTTCTAAGGGTAGAAGTTCTGTTCAAGGTTCTGCGACGCCGCCGCCGTCAGTTGGTAAGGACGACGCAATGCAAGCTGCGCTCAACAGTCAAGAGCGTGGCCGTGACCTTCTATATAATTGCGTGCCTCGCGTCTCAGAAACATCCAGGGTCGGGACCACTACTCTGGGTACCTCAAGGGACGTGATCACTGCTCTGGGTACCTCAAGGGACGGCACAACTGCTTTGGGTACCTCAGGAGACGGGACCACTGCTCTGGGTACGAAGGAATCGACACGGTCTCGCCCCTCTCAAGATTGTGGGATCAAAGGGCGGTTACCCGGGTCTCTGAGCACGTCCCTCTTAAAATATGCTTGCGACACCGGTAGGATACCGCCTGTAGGCCCTGGCGTGGGCGAAGAGACGCTGGTCATGAGGTCGGTCCCTGGCGAGCAGTCCAAAAAACGCTTAGCCAAGTCACCTGCAGCTCGGCCAGCTGGTCTGCCTAAGTCAGCTAAGTCAGCTGGTGCAGACGATGCACGTAGCTCAGCTGGCCAGCCTAAGTCAGCTGGTGCAGATGAAGCACGTAGCTCAGCTGGTGCAGACGATGCACGTAGCTCAGCTGGCCAACCTAAGTCAGCTGGTGCAGACGATGCACGTAGCTCAGCTGGCCAACCTAAGTCAGCTGGTGCAGACGAGGCACGTAGCTCGGCTGTAAAGGACCCAACAAAGTACCCGGCCATGCGGTCGTGTTCTGTTAGACTCAGGGACATCTGTCGACGGAATGAAATGTCGCTCCTTCAGAACTTGAAACTCGCCCCCGCCCTCGCCAATTGCTTGCAACCTGCAACTGCCGGTGAGAAGGACGCACAGCCTTCTAATGCTCCTTCCAAAAATGGAATTGGTAACAATGTAGTAGACACGGAGGCAAAAGAAGTCCTGAAAGAACTTCAAACTGATAAAATTATTGACAGCTTGGATAATGTGGCGACGAACTCAGCAGGTCCGTCGGTGACAGCACTTCCTTGCGAACGCAACGAAAACGCTTCCTCAAGACGCCCTCGCGCTTCGAGTTCTCCAGAGAAAGCTCCTTCATGCGCTGGCAAAGTTGATCTACCTTCGAGGATCAGCAAAGACATTGATGATGATCTTCTGAGTAGCGAGAATAGTTCTTTCTGCGACTCAGACTCAGATCTGGAGAGCATCATCGAAGACCCCGATGAGCCCAAGGACCTTCTCACCGTCAAGGAACACCTGGCGGAGCACCGCTACGACTCTGTGCTTCAGTTCCACGTGGACGTGTGCCGCGTCATCGAGGCGGGCAGGTTCCTCAGCAAGGACCAGACCAAGAACATCATGAGTCTCTATGCCAAGCACATGAAGGATTGCTTCCCCTGGTTTGACCTCAATGGCGTCAACATCTTCGACCTCATCGACAAGTACCACCCGTTCCCCATGCCGCATGCCGACCACAGCTACGCCGTCAGCGCCCCGCCCTCCAAAGTCAGCAGAACACCGGACACGAGAAACGCCCTCCGCTCCTTACCGCAATCTCCTTCGCCCAGCAGGACGCGGCTGCCGATGGTGCCTCACGAGGTTGCGCCGTTGGTGCCCAAAGGCGTCAGGAAATGCGTGCTCTGCAACGTACTTGACGACGGCGCCCGTGACGTTGAGGGCCGCCTGCTGTACCTCGGGCAGGACGAGTGGCTGCACGTGAACTGCGCTTTGTGGTCCTCAGAGGTGTACGAGGAGGACGACGGCAGACTGCAGAAGGTGTACGAAGCCACCAGTAGGGGACGGATGATCAAGTGTAACGAGTGCCTCGAGCGAGGTGCCACCGTTGGCTGCTGCCATCGCAACTGCAGTGCCACCTTCCATTTCAGGTGCGCTAGACAAGCTCGCTCTCAGTTCCTCGAAGACAAGCGAATGTTCTGCGCTGCGCATGTCAACTCCGATGACGAGGTCGAGGAAATAGTCAACTTCCATGTGAACCGATGCGTCTACGTCGACATGAGCTCACAGAAACGAAAATGGAAGCCCGTGCTTGGGGGTAAAGTCAATATAACGATAGGTTCACTAACCATACACAGCCTGGGCCGCATTTTGCCTGAGCTAGACAGTTACGAAGCCCTCATTCCTGTGGACCTGACATGTAGTCGCCTCTACTGGAGCACTAAGGACCCCAGCAAGCGAGTGCGCTACGTCTGCAGGACCAAGAGGATCGTCCCTGACGAGGCCGTCCATGTCACTCCAAATCACGACCAACCTCACTTCGTTATCGACCATTCAAAGGATGCCGCGACCGTCGCTCGGCAGACGCAGCTCATGAAGGACTGGTTCAGGAGGCAGGACGAGCAGGAGGTTGCGCAGGTGTCCCGACAAACCAACATCATCCCACCGCATCTCTGTCCGCTCTACCAACAAATCTTGTGTCGAAGTAAACGTCAGTTCACTCGGTCAGAATCTGTTCACGAATGGGGAACCCCGCGCTCGAGTGAAGAAAGCAATTTCATGCAAATAGCGAAGGAGTTCCTTGACGACATCTTGGAGAAAGTCTGCAAGTGTTTGGACGAAGATAGCCTCTTCCTGGAGACCGAGGTGCCCGATATCGTCAACTCGGTGGACAATGAACTGATCTCGATGGTCCTGAACGACCTAGATGGCTGTGATGCAGGCCTGCCGCCATCCACGGTCCACTCGCGACTTGTCAGTCCCATCGACCTGGACTTGTTCTCCAGTCTCAGCTCCGATGGCGATCTCACTCACGCCAATCTAGCCTCAGATGCCTCACGAGTCCCGGACACCCGCAGCCCCATCGCTTTTGATAATGGCGTCAATGGCAGCTCTTCAAATTCTTACTCATTGATCCCCGTCAAAAATACCAATGAACATCAGAGTGGCACTTTTGATGTGCCGTCAGTATGCGTTACACAATCTTTGATATGTCCCAGTGACCAAATGACGACGTCGCGGTGCCGGACGTTGGAGTCCCCGCCAAACATGCGTGGTGACGTCGGCGACCTCAGCGTCCAAGCAAAGCGCCTTGACCATCCAAAGGTTGAGGAGGCAGTCCTGGTTTCCTCGAATCCTGAAGTTGGATTCAAGCCGATCCACAGTCAGGACAGTTATGTTTCTACTTCCCCTTCTGAGGGCGCCTGTCAAGAGTCACGGAATTTTCCACAGAAGAAGACTGTATGTCCTGACGAAGATTCCATAAATTTTTCTCTGAGGTTGAGAGAGGAATCAACTTGTCTTGCGCCCTCAGATGTAGCCTGCAGCGCTGGGTTGTCAGAAGTTATGCCTACCTCCTCGCAGGGACCACCTCTCTCCGCGCAGGATGTGGGCGCTGGTGAACATAGCCGTGTCAGTGTAGAATGTATGTCGCCTGATACGAAGTCGCGACTGAGCCTCACCGCCTGCTCAGACTCTGCTGACGGCCTTCACCCAGCAGCTGAAGCAGCCTCACAACGCCCTGCTGTTAAATCTAAAAGTCCTTGTACGACTATTCAAGACCAGAAATTCCGAGTGATTTTTCCAGAAGAAAAGTGCGATGTTGCCACGTCTCTTGCCAGCAACATCGCCTCTCACAAGCAAGTGTGTCGAGTTCTCCCTATGGTGAGCAGTCGACGAAGCTCGAGTGAATCTGCCGCGACTTCTGATCAAAATATCGTCGCCGAAAGTTCCAACCAACAACAGCAGTCCAAGAAAATCTGCATGAAGAGGAACTACAAGACAGTGATCAAGCGCTACCCCCTCCGCAGCAGCTCGAGGAACAACAAGAAGCCTTATCAGACGGTCAAGATCGAGATCAACGAGACGATCGAGATACCAGAGGACGAGGGCGCAGCCGCTAGCGTGGTCCGTGAGAGCGTCAAGAGGAAATGGAACACCCTCGTCGAGAGTGAGGCAGACGACGAAAATATCGACGACGATGACGAAGCAAATGCGTTGAGTTGCGTGCGAGTGACGCGCGGCCGCTCAGCCGCCATGACGAAACGTCCCCGTGTCAACTCGTCATACTCGTCCTGCAGCAGGGACAGTCCTGCGGTATCCAAGAAGGTAGTCAAGTTCTCGGATGACAGCAACGACATCACCGTCAGCATCGTCAACAACAACAACCTCTGCAAGTTCTCCAAATCACGTGGCCTCCACAACTACCGCCACAAAACTCTCCTCCAAGTCGACGGGGCTGCGGATTTCAGCTCGGGATCTGACGATGAAGGCACGCGGTCCCGGACCTTGAATGTTGCAGCGCGGAACTCGTGCGTCGGTGCTGGCAGTTCCCTCAAGCCACCGTGCGAAGAGAAAGCCGCGCAAGAGTCCAGCCTCGCCCTCCGCATCAAGGAGCAGAGCCTCGCCCACAGCGCAATTGGGGACCAGGGGCCCTACAAGTGCCACAAGTGCCGCCGCCTCTATAGGTGAGGGACACATGCTTATTCTTATGTTATTACACATGCTAGTGCGCTAGTCTGCGCTGACTAGAGCGCTACCGGTAGTCTGTACCTACTAGAGCGCTAGTCTGTACTTACTAGAGCGCTAGTCTGTACCTACTAGAGCGTTAGTCTGTCTCTACTAGAGCGCTAGTCTGTCTCAGTCTCTACTTGAGTGCTAGTCTGTACCTACTAGAGCGCTAGTCTGTCTCTACTTGAGTGCTAGTCTGTACCTACTAGAGCGCTAGTCTGTCTCTACTTGAGTGCTAGTCTGTACCTACTAGAGCGCTAGTCTGTACCTACNGAGAGGAAGTCGTGATTGGTGGTGAGAGGAAGTCGTGATTGGTTGCGAGAGGAAGTCGTGATTGGTTACGAGAGGAAGTCGTGATTGGTTGCGAGAGGAAGTCGTGATTGGTTGCGAGAGGAAGTCGTGATTGGTTGTGAGAGGAAGTCGTGATTGGTTGTAAGAGGAAGTCGTGATTGGTTACGAGAGGAAGTCGTGATTGGTTGCGAGAGGAAGTCGTGATTGGTTGTGAGAGGAAGTCGTGATTGGTTGTATGAGGAAGTCGTGATTGGTGGTGAGAGGAAGTCGTGATTGGCCGCCACACTAACGCCTCCTTTGCCCGCAGGACCGTCCAGAGCTTCGAGCGCCACGTTGAGTCCTGCACGTTTGTGATCGACAGCTCGAGCTCGTCTGAGGACGACGCCCTTAAAGATGTTCCTTCCCCTGCCGCTACCACCGCAACACCCTCCTTTGATGTCAACACCAAACTCCCTTCTGACATGAAAACCACACTCCGCTCTGACACCACATTTCTCACCAACCTTGACATGAGCATCACTTCCCAGCTGACAAGTTCACTGCCCCGCCACTCACGCTTTGCTGACGTCAGTGCAGGATTAAGTTGCGCAGCAGCTGATGCCGGATGTCTGAGGACGTGGTCGCCACAAGACTCATCGTCGCAGCGCGCCTGTGCTAGTGAGGCACGTCTAGACTCCTCGTCAGACGTGAGGCTCAGCAGCCTCCCCAACCTAGAGGAACAGACGCCTCGTGTCCCACCGCCAACTGTTCCTCCTCCTCCTCAGGACGTAGGTATTAATAAGTTCGTAGCTTCGGCAACAGGGAGCACCAGTGCTGGCCCTGCGTGCGACGCTATTGAGCCTTCTAGCAAAAAATTGAAAATCATCCCTATAGCCGTGGCGAGTGTCCAGGCCGACGCGGCAGCAGAAATGGACTCCAGGTACAGTGTGTCTCCTGCCTCGTCGCCTACGCGTTTCTCAGGTGTCCTCAAGAGGTCTTTCAACCAGCGCCGCTACAGCAACACCAAGCTTGCCAGGGGCACCCGAGCCTACCAAAGTAGGAAGCCTTTGCCCTCTATCCTCTCTTCTTCAGGAATTCCTCCGTCACGCCTGCCACAAGCCCCCGCGGTGGCGTCTCGCATGCCACACCCCCCAAGTGGCAGCGACCACCAGGCACCTCACCATCTTATTGACCCCTCACCGCGGATTTCCTATGTCGCTTCAGACGCAACGGTGTTCACGCATCAGAGCGGCCAGAGGCTGACGCCGCTGCCCGTAGGGGGCGCGGGCTCCTCTTCCTTGCAGACCATACAGACTAGTAACTCCTCGCAGACCAGCCAGCTGGGTGCTGCTGTGGACAACCAGCTGAGTGGTGCTGGGAATAACCAGCTGTATAGTAGTGTAAATAGCCAGCTGGGTGTTGCTGTGTCCAACCACTTGAGTGGAGCTGTGAATAACCAGCTAGGAGGCACTATGAGCCACAACCTTGGTGGTACTGTAAATAATTACCTGGTAGGTGCTACTAACAACCAGTTTAATGGGACTGTGAACAGCCACCTGGACGCTGCTGTACCCCTATCAGGTGACACGCCGCAGCCTCGCATCACGACATTCCGCACCTCGCCCGTACAGCCAATCCATATCAGCGTGCCAGGCTACGCCGCGCCCAGCGACACCACAAGAGCCCTGGATTTCCCTGGCGTTGCTCAGAACGAGGCTCCAAACTTCACCTACAGTCGCCCTCAGTTCCTGACTACGCCGGCGTTCAACACCTTTCCTGCAGGCGACTCATCGATGAGCTCTGCTAATATCAGGGCTCCTCAGGGCTTCACGGTCCAGTATGTCAACTCTTTCGGAGACTTGATACCTACCGTGAACGGTCACATCGTCACTAGTTACCAAGCAGGACCGTTGGTGGTACAACAGCCACTATTGCAGCAGCAGCAGCTTGTGCAGCCTCTCAACGCCCACCAGGTCATGTCATCAGGCCTGGTGCAGCAAACTGTCATTTCCAATGGGGGTGTGATGCAGCCGACACTCGTGCAGCCTCAGGTCGTGCCCGCCCAGTCCCTGATGGTTCCTCAAATGGTCAATTCTAACATCACCTACACCATCAACGCTCCCAAGACATACGTCATCAGTCAGCAGCCAGTGATGCAGCCCCAGCAGCAGCATCAAGTGATGCAGCAACATCAAGTGGTCCAGCAACAGCATCAGGTGCTGCAGCAACAACCACAGCATCAAATGATGCAGCAACAACAACAGCATCAAGTGATGCAGCAACAACCACAACATCAAATGATGCAGCAACAACCACAGCATCAAGTGATGCAGCAACAACCACAGCATCAAGTGATGCAGCAACAACAGCATCAAGTGATGCAGCAACACCAGCATCAAGTGTTACAGCAGCAGCAGCAGCCCCCCCATATCCACATCGTTCCTGCCGTCACTCAGACCTCTTCCTGCCGTCACTCAGAGCAACACGTTCCTGCCGTCACTCAGACCTCTTCCTCCCTGCACGCCTCGTCGTCAGAGGTCTCTGATGTGCAGCACCCACAGCTCCCTCAGAGCTGCAGCCAAGCAAGCGAGGGCACAGCGGCCAAGACGACACTCAATGTAATGGATTTTATGTCCGGGAAGAAAGCCCCGGCGAGTGTCAATGTTGCTAGCACTCAAGGCATCCGTTCAATGGCCTCTGCACCATCTTCCAGCTCCTCCTGCTCTTCTGTGCCCGCGAAATCCTTGTTACTGGAGTCCAACCATGTGTTGACAAGCAAATTCTTGACTTCACACAGCGCGGCTTCGCCCCATCCACCAGGAATAATTTCCTCCCAGCCCGACAGTAAGATCCGACATCGGTCCCCGTTCGGCACAAGCGTCGGTGTCGTCCGCAACGTGGCCACCGTCGCTCCTGCCATCATCAACACTCCTGTCCTGAGCTGCAGCGCCAACTCCAAGTCCCCTCAAGTAGAGACTTCAAAATTGGAATCCAGGATTGAATCCTCTGCTGAAGACTTGTTCGACGAGATGGATGGAGATATGGGAGGCGAAAGACCGAGACCTACGTACAGCTACCGAGACGCCATGGTCAGGCCTGTGTTCCAAAAGAAGAATGTCAGGCTTGAGGCGCTGTTGAATGAAGTGCAACAGCCGCTGCCGCAGTTTTCCAAACCCAAGGACATGACTCGGCCTCGAGAGAGGAAGCAAGACTTCAAGGAGAACTCGAAGCCCGAGGACTTGGAGTCGGAAAACGTCCCTACTGTGACACAGTCCTACAAGTTGGTGTTAAAGCGGGACTCGTCTCAGGAATGTGGATTCAACGTCCTGCCCGTACAGGGAATGAACACCGACCTCATGGATCACCAGGTCAAAGAGCTCAGGATAAAAGCCAAGGTTTCTCTCGGACCAAAACGAAAGAAAATAATCATGCCTGTGAAGGAGAGCGATGTCTTCCTGGCCCCCAAAGACGTCACCCACGACGGTTTGGTGAACGAGCAAACAGCCAACCTCACGCCGCCGCTCCAGAGCCAAACGAGCCTCCCTGACGACCCCAGCCTCTTCGACAAGCCCAAGAGGGCTACGAGCTCCTCGTCCAGCACCGAGCCCTTCATCGTCTTCGAGCTGACATCAGAGGACGGCTTCAAGGTGGAGAGCCGCCATCTTGGTGAGGTCTGGCAGACGGTGTTCGATGCCGTCACTGCCGCCAGGGCAAGTCTCAAGATGGCCGGCCATCTCGCCGACGCTTCCAGGTCAGTCGTCAGCCTGTAATTGTAGCCTCGTAGACTGTGTTAATGGCTTTCTCCACGATGATCATGAGAATGAGTGTGTCATGTGTTTTATTAGTAGTTGTATATTCATGTTATTAAAACTCGTGTCTGGTGTCTGTTGGGTAGCCTTCACCCTTCCTTATTGTGTGTAGTACTCGAATGACGCAGCACCAATCATTGCTTATTATATGGTTGTGTGTAGCATGTGTGATTGGTCCTGACGTGTTGTGTGGTCCAGGTGTGGTGGGGGCGAGGCCACGTCTGGGCTCCACATGCTTGGTCTCACCCACAACGCCGTGCAGTACCTGCTGGAGCAGCTGCCTGGCGCCAACGACTGCCACAAGTACAGCTTCCAGGTGAGCCGTC